GCTGGTAGTTTCGAACCGCTGACCTTAAGGTTCGCAGCCCGATTCGTAACCACTACGCTACCAGAGCTCCTTAGAATGTTTTAATTCATAATTTGTTGGTTTCAAACGAATCACAGACATCACAAAAGTGATTTTCACGCCTTCTTCCTCTCCTTTTACCCCCTCCCATACACACATACATATAATTTTATTCATTGAAAAGTGACTTTGTTGTTTGTCTGATTAAATCCTGGGGGAAAAGGTACAATTTAGCCAATTGACCCTATGTATTCTAATCTGCCTTTTAAATGATATTTATTGTAAAAACCATTTCTTAGATGTCAGGATTAACTTTACTAGCAGTTGTTTGCTATTGCTTATTCTTCCTCAGAGTTTCTATTCATGGCATGGTGACTTGGTTATTGTGGAGAATTGTCTAAAACTGAACTCAAGGAAGAACATGAAGCTAAGACCCAGTTTTTGTAGAACATTTCTAATAATAAAGATGTGGGGAAATGAAATCTGGGAATTGGGGTCTATAAACCAATAATTAATAGTTCTTTGTCAATATGAGTCAGGGCAAATAATTAATAACTGAGACTTGAAAAGATTAAATGTTTCAAGCAGTTTCTTTGATTGGAAAATAATTTAATGTACAAAAATTCAGACCCTGATCAAAGATTCCTTCATAAATAGCTCAAAGTAAAATAGAAATTTGGTTGAACGGGCATCTAAAGAGACCTCATAGTTTGAATTCATTCGTAGTAGGAAGAGGGGCACTTCTGAAGAATGCAGGGTTTTAGTGATATTGCTGGTCTTTTCTCCCGCTTTGTTTTAGTACATTGACTCTTCAGATGTGGAAAAGGAAGTGAAGAGACTGCTGTGTTCAGACGCTGAAGCTGTCAGTGCCCGTATCCTTTTATACCAAATGTTTTCTGTGCAGTCTGTTCCAATCCATATGCATTTGTTGACAAGCCCTCACTTTTGATATTTGTGTGCCATTTTGATGTATAGAACTTAAGAGTTTTGGAAGTGCTACTTGCTAGTTAGGAACAGTAAATTCCTATGTTGAAAATTTATTGAGCTGTGTAATTCAATATAAGGCACTTCTCCAAACCACAAATGCAGATACAAATGGCCTCAAGTTGGAGAACATCGCCTTTTTCTTTCAACTCTGCCTTCTCCTTTTTGTCTGCTTTTTTCTTTAACTCCCTCCTTCTTTCAGGATGGGAAGTCATTGCTGACGATGAAACCAAGGAAATAGAATGCCAAGGCACCATTCCAAGTTTTGATTTTGCCTCCAAAATGATTTGCCACCAGCAGGACCAGCTCTCACCAGGTATTTTATTAAAAGCAAAGCAAGAGCTTTAGAGAGAGCATGTATTGACTATGAATAAGATCATTCTCCATGAATTCACAGGCCAACCATAGAAAAAGTATGTCTTTTGTTTTCCTTCCTTCAGTGCTTAGGGGTTTCAGATTGGTGTGTTTTCATGTATTGTCCATCCCTGGATTCTAAACCACTGTGGGCCCTTGGGTTCTGAATGTTGCAGTGCTTTCTATTCCTCGTGTGTGTGTGTGTGTGTGTGTGTGTGTGTGTGTGTGTGTGTATGAAGGGAATCATCCTCCTGTAAGAAAAAATGATTTATAAAATTGACTGGTTAAGAAATATAATTCTTGCTGAAGTGGAAAATATTGTAAAAAGTATTATTCAGAAGAGTTTCATCTTCCTCTTATTTGAAATCAATAGAATATGATATTCTTCGGGAGAGGTTAACTGATTCTAGCAGTAGCCGTGATCATGAGGCTGAGAAGGAGACAGAGCCTGATTATGTTCAGGTAGAGAAGGATGACAAAGAGGAGGAAGACAAAGAGGATGAGAAGGCTGAAGATGATCCTGAAGAGGCTCTGGAAAGGGAGCTGCAAGTCAAGTTCGCTAAATTAGGCTGTTACAAGGCAAAGGAAGGGACCACTTCAATGGGTAAGTCAGAGCAAAAAGTAAAGGGATGGGCACAGGTTGGGTGTTAATTCTAAACACACATTGGATGCAGGGTTAAACTTAAGAAGTTACTGCTCAGATGTGTGGTGAAGTTTTAGTTGATTTGGGTCTAGGTTTACTATTTTAGGCTATAATTAGATACATAAAGTTTCTATCTCTGTTAGTCAAGAAAATTCAGAAGCAGATTTATTGCATGGAGAAGAAGGTCAAAGAAATTCAGAACAAAGTAAAAAGAAAGGAGAATCTTATCAAGAAAGTGGAAAACTTGACACTCAAGGTAAGTTGTTAATGCAAAGAAATTCTGATATCTTTCAAAAGTCCATCTTTTATTTCCACTTATGTCATCTCTATGCAGCATCTTGTTCATTTGTGACCCTAAACAACCTTTTGTTGTTGTTGTTAAGTGCCATAGAGTTGGTTCCTACTCGACGGCACTTAACAACAACAATAAAATATGGCACTGTGGCATTAAGCAATGGACTGCAAAATTCATTTTTAAAATTTTATCATGCATGTTTGAACTTGCTTTATTTTTATCAATACATGTTTTAAAATGTCAGCTAAAGGAAAATATATGTTTAGTCCATGCTTGTTTCGCTTTTTATAACAAGGGAAGTTCTAAAGCATCTGGAGAATTCCTTGTCTGTAGTTCTGTGGTTTTTTACTCAGAACTTGCCCGTTAGAATAACCAAGTGAAGTAAGTATATGTTAATATACTTTGAAAGATAAAGATATATGGTATTATTGTGACCATTGTTGTTGCATACAGTAACAGTTAGGAATAACAAGATTCTGCCCTAGCCATGGTGGCACACTGGTTAAGCACTCTGCTGCTAACCAAAAGGTCAGTGACTTAAACACACCAGCAGCTCCATAGGAGAAAAATGTGGCAGTCTGCTTCTCTAAAAGTTACAGCCTTGGAAACCCTATGGGGCAGTTCTACTCTGTCCTGTAGGGTTGCTATGAGTCAGAATCAACTCAGCAGCAATGGATTTATTTTAGTTTTTAGCAGTGGGAAATAGAGGATCCAGCATCAAATTCTAAACCAACTCTTTTAATAGGTCACCATAGCCAAAATACTTGGGCTAAACTAGGAAAAGGTCACATGAAGGCTTTCTATTAACTTATTTTAGGGAATTACAAAAATTAATAATACACCACATTGTAGGGTGTGTAAAATCAAATAGGATGGAGCTATGGTTGAGGATACAACTTTTATACTCTAACTTATTTTTTATTTTTTAAAAGAGTGCTCTTTGGTTATGACCCACAGTTTTCCTGCTTAGAAAAATATTTGCCGAACTCTTGGTTTCTTTTGGTTCTCTCCTTTTTAGACTCAGTATTCATCACCTATACAATTTGTTTTTCAGAGTTATTTACAGTCTGGGCTGAAGCAGCTTAAAATACAAGAAAGCGAAAAAATTGAGGAGGTGAGAAATATGTTTTTAAAACAACCTAAAATCATTTGATACATACAACCCTTCTACCCTATGTAGTGGTTACGAATCGGACTGTGAACCACAAGGTCAGCAGTTCGAAACTGCCAGCTGTTCCTTGGGAGAAAGATGAGGCTTTCTGCTCCCATAAAGATTTACAGCCTCGGAAACCCTGTACAGGGTCGCTATGAGTTGGAACCGACTCCACGGCACATAACAACAACAACAACCCTACCCTCTACCAGTAGTCCTTGGGTGGCGCTGTGGGCTAATGCGTCAAATTGCAAAGTCATTTGAACTGCAAGGTCGATGGTTTAAGCTCACCAGCTGCTCCTTGGAAAACAGGGTCACTACAGGTCAGAATTGACTCGATGACATTTAACAACAACCCTACCCCCAATTTCATTTCTGACTGTCCGTCTTACTAAATTGGACAGGAATTGTTAAGTGCTGTTGACTCAGTTCTGACTCATAACGACCCTGTATAGGGTTTCTGAGGAGCAGCTGATGAGTTTGAGCCACTGATCTTGTGGTTAGCAGTCCAGTGCTTATTTTAAAACTCTATACCAGAACTCCTATATTGTTAAGTGCCGTCAAGTTGGTTTCAACTCATAGTAACCCTGTATAGGGTTTCTGAGGAGCATCTAATGAATTCTAACTGCCAACCTTGTGGTTCAAACTGACCTTGAAGCCCTGTGCATTAACCCACAGTACCACACTAGGACTCTTATGTTGTTGTTGTTAAGTGCCATCAAGTCGATTCTGACCCGTAGTGACCCTGTATAGGGTTCCTGAGGAGCAGCTGGTGAGCTTGAACCGCTGACCTTGCAGTTCAAATGACTTTACAATCTGATGCATTAGCCAGCCCACAGCACCACACCAGGACTCCAGGACTCCTATAGTAGTGGGAATAGACAGCCTCATCTTTATCCCACAGAGCAGCTAGTGGGTTTGAACTACTGACCCTGTGGTTGGAGCAGCCCAAGGCCTACAACACAATGCCACCAGGAATCCTTATTAACACTTAATAGACAATATTTGTAGAATTAGTGAATTTTCACAAAGGCGTTATTCCTGCTATTCTCTTTTTAGAAGATTTGGCCACTACCAGAACTCGTGTGTTGTTGTTGTTAATTGCCGTCGAGTTGATTCCAACCCATAGCGACCCTGTATAGGGTTTCCAAGGAGCAGCTGGTGAGCTTGAACCACTGACCTTGCATTTCAAACGACTTTACTGTCTGATGCATTAGCCCACAGCGCCACACCAGGACTCCAAGACTCCTATAGTAGTGGCCAAATTGTCTAAAAGGAGGATAGCAGGAATAAAGCCTTTGTGAAAATTCACTAATTCTAAAAATATTGCATGTCTATTAAGTGTTAATAAGGATCCCTGGTGGCATTGTGTGGTACGCCTTGGGCTGCTAACCACAGGGTCAGCAGTTCAAACCCACTAGCTGCTCTGTGGGATAAAGATGAGGCTGTCTACTCCCATAAAGATTTATAGTGTCAGAAACTCTATATAAGGTTATATAAATTGGAATTGACTTGATGGTAGTGGATTTGTTTTGTTTTATTTTTTGGTATAAAGGTTATGCCTCACCTGCTTAAACCCACCAGTTTCTCTGAAGGAGTAAAGACCTAACAATTTTCAGCCACAAAGATTACAACCTAGGAAACTCTATTCAAGAGTTCTGTTCTATCCAATAGGGCTGCTATGAGTTTAGAATCCAGTTGCATAAAAATTAAGTGAAAAGCACTGAGTATACAGAGTTGAATAAGGCAAATAACAATACTCATCCTCATGGAGACAACAGTCTAGCAGAGGTTAAGAAATTTCATGCAGATATCATACAAATATTGTGAAGAAGGAAAAAAAAAAAGAGAGAGAGAGTCCCGTCTTATATAGGGAGGACCATGATAGAAATCTCTGAGGAACTGATATTTAAGTAGAAATCTGAAGGATAAGTCTAGATAAACGGGGATAAAGGACCTCTCAGGCTCCACATTGGAAAGAACGTTTAGGACCTTTAGAATATTTGAGTCCTGGTGTGGGGCTATCAGAATTGGTACTGGGCTGCTAACCATAAGGTCGACAATTCAAACACACCAGTTGCTCCTTGGAAACCCTACATAGGGTCGCTATAAGTGGGAACCGACTTGACAGCACTTAACAAACAGCAGCAGTGTTTAAAGAATTCCTGCTAACCACAAAGTCGGCTCTTCAAACCCACTGTTCAGCGACTCAGAAACTCCATACAGGGTTACTATGAATTGAAACTGACAGCACTTAACAAAACAACAGCAAAGTATTTAAAACTACAAAGACAGTGTCTTAAGGTAAGTCAAAGTAGGCAGGGAGCAGATTTTATGGTTCCCTGTAGGCCATGTAGGTCCTGGTGTGGTGCTGTGGGTTAATGCCCTAGACTGCAAAGTTGGTTTGAATCACAGGTTGGCGGTTCAAGCTCACCAGCCGCTCCTCAGAAACCCTGTACAAGGTCACTATGAGTCGAAAGCGACTCGACAACACTTAGTAACAGCAGCAGGCAATGATAAGGAGGATGGAGATTAGTTTTAAATGCAATTATTGTTGGTGTTAAACATTGTTGAATCAATTCTGACTCATAGCGACCCTGTATAGGGTTTCCAAGAAGCAACTGGTGGTTTTGAACCACCAATCTTTGGTTCGCAGTCCAATACTTACCTTACAGCATCACACCAGGAGTCCTTAAATGCAATAGGAAGCCATATGCAAGGCTCCACATTGGAAAGAAGTTGGCCCCTCTGAGGACCTCCAGAGTGTTTAAGGTCTCTTGGTGTGGTGCTGCAGGATCAACACTGGACTATGGACCACAAGGTCAGCAGTTCAAACCTGCCAGAAGCTCCTTGGACACACTATATAGGGTTGCCATGAGTTGGAACTGACTTGATGGCACTTAAAACAACAACAGAGTGTTTAAGGACTCCTGGTGTGGTGCTGTAGGATAAGCACTGGACTATGAACCAAAGGGTTGATGGTTCAAACCCACTACTAATCTACTCTCTACTAGTGTCTGTTGCCTATTCTTTTGAGATATGCAGACTAGACAACATAGACAAGTAGAATAGTAGTTGCTTAGGGCTGGTGAGGATGGAGGATGGGGAAGCGATAGCTAAAGTGTATGGGGTTTCTGAAATGAATTGTGGTTATAGTTGCACAGTTCTGTAAATACACAAAAACCCTACTAAGTTGTACATTTTAAATGGATGAATTGCATGGTGTGTGAATTATATTGCAATACAGCCGTTAAAAAGTTTTTATTTTTATATAAATATAAAAATACATATTCTTTCCATTGTTGCTGCCTTCACCTTTGTCTAAGTTATCACCATCTATTATTAGACTCCCTGCTTCTACTCCTGCCCACCCACCCCCTACAATTTAGCCTCTAAATAATTATCAGTCATCTTTTAAATGTTTAAATGTGACTCCCTGCTTAAAGCTCTTTATGGGCTTCCGATTGTATTTAAAGAGTTTTGAGTAGGATAGTCCCATTTGAACTTTTAAAAGATGGATGATAATTATTCAGAGACTAGATTGTAGGTTGTGGGTTGGCAGGAATAGGAGTAGGGAGGCCAAAGCCGTGGTAGTCTAATAAGATATGGTGATAACTAGGACGAAGGCAATGGCAGCAGTAATGGAAACAATATATATTTTTAACCAAAGTAAAAAAAAAATTAACAGTATTCCTTTTGTTGAATAGTCAACTATATGTATATATATATATATATATTCATTGTATGAATATATCACAATTCTTTTTTTTTTTTAAGTTTTTATTGTGACTTGAGTAATAGTTTATGTGGGATAACATCAGTTTTATACTGTCATTTCATTGCAATGATTACATTCCCTTCCGTACATCATTATTCAACAGCATTTGCTTCTATTCCCTCTTTGGGTTTTTTTTTTCATGTACACAAAAACACTCATGAATATATAATCATTTAAACAACCAAAGGGCACATTCTGAAATAGATCACATTTCTTTTATTAATCCACCAGTTTCCACTTTTTAGCTATTATGAATAATGCTGCTGTGAACATTCATATATGAGAATATATTTTAAAGAGAATTAATGGGACTTGGTGATGGATTTTTACTGAGTGTTGAAGGGATAGAAAGTGTTTAGTATGTATGCCAGATTTCTAACTTGAACAACTGTATTAATACACTTAAAGTCACAAAAGAGTGTGCAAAAGGAAAAGAGGATGATGTGGGATAAGTGTGGGTTCAGCAACTACAAAGAACGGGTATGCTCTGTCTTTAGGGGTAACAATTTTAAAGAGCCTACAGTTTGTTATGAGGTTAGGCTTAGTGTGGGGCTCTTAAGAAAGAGATACCATTCCATAATTTACTGGTAATGGTAAATTTCCCACAAGACCAGGGTAATTTACCATTACCCGTTACCCTTGAGTCAACTCTAATTTATGGAGATTCCATAGGATTTTTACTCTTTGTACTCCATAGGATTTTTTTTTTTTTTAATTTAAGGTTTTTATTGTGGATTGAGTGAAAGTTTACAGGGCACATCATCAGTTTCACATTCAACAATTCATATAACTTGTTTCATTA